TTTGGGAGTCATAAAATGAGTTATCAGCACACTTTGGAAATTTTGTAAGGAAGAGAAAGGGGTAGAGGGAAAAAGAAAGGCATTGCAGTTTATGAAAACAGCAAACATTTTTTGAGGGTCTACTTTGTGCCAGGACCACACTAGAATCTGGGGATACAGAGATGAGTAAGTTAAAGTCCTTTTCCCCAAGGAGCTCCCAGAATAAATAGGGCAAATATTTAAACATTTAAGTATACTATAGTTGCATTTTTCACAATTCCCAATTTAGTTAATAGTTTCATTTTCATCGTAAAAGTTCAGAACATGTGTTAACAAATGTCCTAGTTTCCCAGATTGTTCAGATTTTTTTGTTTACAAAGTAGTCAAACCTTTAGAAGAAAAGATAACTTGACAGCTGCTATTCTCGAGGAAGCCCAGCTTTCAGCTTTTAAATAATGCATTAGGTATTAAAAAAAAAATGCATAGTCTTGTATCTTTTCTCTTTTCACTCCGAATTCCAAGGAGGTTTTGCCATATATACTTGGTATTAAGAGTTCATAATATGTTCTTAATACATGTTTAAGCCTTGATATTTTCACTTGCCAGTTAATAAACTATGAATTTCTATTTGGTTTGAACAAAGTATGCATTAGTTTCTTCAAAACAAAAATTTTTCTTATGTCTGAGGTACTAAACTTGCTAAAAATGTATGTTCCTTATGTGACCTCTGAATATTTTCATGCTCTGTATGGAAGCATGTAGCATAGGGCATGTAGTGGGCATGTCCACGATTTTACTCGTGTCTCACTGAGCGCATAACTGCACAACACAAATGCCTATTTACCCCCTGGCCTAGGGCCCGTCTTTTCTGCTTTAGCTGAATACTGGCCTTGCTTAGGAGCCATAAGGAACTTAGATTCTTCTTACCTAGATGTTAACCTTTTTATCATTTTTGCCAGTATGTTTACAAAGACTGCGCTGGGATTCCTGTTTTACCTTAAACATTGCTGTCTTCCTTGCAGAACATATTTACCCACTTCTTACATGCTATTCTAGCCCTTGGATATTGAATATTGCTTAATGGATTTCCAGGTCATATCTCATCTTTTTCTTTTTAAACTTTTTAAGTTTATTTTTCCATATAGTTTCAAAACTAGATGGGACCTTCAAGAGCACATAGACAAACCTTGTTTTTTATAGATGAGGAGGTCGTGGGGACCAAAGTGCAGTCACTTGCCTAAAGTGATGAACGTTATTGGCAGCACATAATGGCGCATGATATGGCAGAGAAAGAAGAATAGCTTCCTTGAAGCTCCTACTGTGTGCAAAGTGCCATGGTTTCAAAGATGCCATATCCATGTTTCAAATGGTAATCTGTAATCTTGTTACACTTCGAATGTATGTCAATCATAATATTCTTCAATAGTTTACACATCCATTTTCTGTGCTGGATTCTTACGCATCTCTAAAACAGATCATGTATTTATCTGAACGTCTTCAATACCTACACTAGTGATTGGCTTTGAATGAATGATAGTGACAAGTGTTTTAGCCTTCAGGGTATGTTTATTCCATATTCTGAGCATGACAAAGTATGACTTTTGCAATGATTAATATGTTACTATCTGGATTAAGGCACAGTTGCAGAATAGCAATTGCAAATTTATCTTTAGTGCCTTCCCATGGCCCATCTTTACTCCTTATACCTCACTACCCCATCTCCTAGGTTGCTTTCTTGCTTACCCTCTAATTAGCTCCCACTTCCATTTCCAGTATCAGCTAGCAGCTACTCTCTGACATAATAAGGGGTAAGCTGGTGCTCAACCACAAAGCTGTCCTCCGAGGGCCACTTCATTATTTCACTCCATTGACTAATAGCAGAGAATAACTGAGTGTACTTTGTGGCTCCAAAAATAAAAGTTGGTGTTTTGTAGGTAACGTTTTCTCTGAAAACGTCAATTTATGGCTTGTAAACAAGCCAACTACTGTGAAATCACCTACCATGAAGCTTATGGCATGGAAATTCTGTTTTTCTACTTATGGAAAGCAAAGTTTAGAATCTGCAGAGCCTTGATTCTGGCTTCCAGTTCAGAAACTTTGTACAAAGCGTTATGCCCAACAGCCAAGGTCCCCAGGAAAGATGTTGCCTTTTTAGTTCTTCATTAATTTGATGAAAATTAATGGCGAATATGCAAGTCATTTATGTTAGTCAATCCTTTGACCAAAATGTCTTGACCAGAGGTCAGTAACCTGGCTGTGTTTATAAGATGGAGTTTAAACCAGCATTTTGGAGGATTAATGAGTTGCTTACTGATTATGAAACTCCCTTCTCTTTATTGTAACCCACAGTTTGTCCTGAAACAATTAGGTTTGGGGAGAGCAGATAATGGTGGTCAACGTTTCATTTACGTACTCCCCTCATACCTCATGTGGCAGCTGGTAATGCTTCTGTTGATAGCATCAGGCTGAGTGCCTAGTAAATCATGAGTCTTGTCCAGAAGTTAATACCGCTCGCCAGAGGACTGGCGTGGAGCCCACCCAAGGCTAACATACCGTAGCGTCCTGTTCATTTACTCTTGGTTGTTTATTCAATCTTTATAAATGTTATCTATCACAAACAACAGCCTGAATGAATGTATTTTTCTGTATGTGCTATTTAATAGATGCTCTTATGAAGAGTTTTCTGAAATGAGATATTTGTAATTGTAAAAAAGAAAGTGAGGATAGTTTCAAATTTAAAAAATTTGAAAAGTGTGTTATCTCTGTCGTACTTACTTGTCATATGTGGTCTTTTCATCCTAAGGGTTATAGCAAACAAAAACCTAACAAAGTAGTTTTGATTCTTTATTTAGCAAAACGCTTAGACATTTGAAAACAGCAGCTATTGTGCTTCAATACTGTATGTCAGTATTTTTCTTTAATGGCAGAAAAGTGCATTTTGAACTTATTTCTATTTGAAATTTGGAAGCCTGGGTTGTAGGGAATGGGGCAGTGAGCATGAAAGAGCATCTTTGACGAGTAATCAGTATTATTAAATGGGAAAATTGTGAATGGCATATGGCTTCCTCTGACTCATGCACCCTCTCCCCGCCTTCAGAGTAAATTCGTTACCCCCGTCTCTCTGTTACAGCAGCGTAAGTCCACTAGTAAAGCACTTAAGGTAAGTGGAGCTGTGGGTGCATTTCTCTTCCCATCAGGCCCACAGCAACTGGGGGCAGGTCCTGTGTAATTTACCTGGACATTGCCAATATAGGACGACTGGCACATAGTAGGCCCTCGGTAATGTTTGTTGAAGGAAATGGAATTAATACTTTTACTCCACTTTAGCATGGAAAAGCCCCGTAATTCTTGGTTGTCCCCTGAAATATTGGGCATTATGTATATTACATGTAATTGTGATATCAAAAGTAGAACTCAACAATTTGCCTGGGAGGTTCAATAGACATGTCTATTTCAATAAGTAAATAGAATTATAAAGAATAATGTTTCTCAGATCTTTGTTTATTTTTCTTCCTTTTATGTGCATATATTCTGCTGTTTCCTTTGTGACATGTTTAAATTTATGTGTATATTCCTTTTTCTACTTTGGTGTTCTCTTCCATTGTCAATCATTGAACATACTTTCCGTTTTCTTTCTTGGTCGTCTTGTTTATGTTGTGTGGAACTGACAGCATGTGGTCAGGGCAGAAATAATGAAGTCCCCGGAAGAAGATGCTCAACATACTAACTCCGCTCAGAGTAGAATCTGTTCAGTACAGTAGTGCAGGTATTAACGGATATTATTGCAGCTTTGGGGTGGAGGGTGGTGAGAACTAGTGAATGCTATCTTGTTCCTTTTTCCTTATGAATAGAGAAGTTCAAATGATTATTGTACATTATTGGAATTAATATTGCATATATCCTGTTTTAGAACTTTGAAAAATTGATCCTTTGCCAGGAGACTTACGAATTAAATAAGGACTTGGGAACAAATTAAAACAGCATTTCAGTTACTTTCACACATATTTGTCTTTATGGTTGTGTTTATTACATGTGCAGTGAAGTGGAGAATTGAGGCAGTTATTTCATTATTCATTCCTTACCCTTTTTCCTGAAATAGCCTGGTAATTGAAAGAGTATTTTTAAAATTTGCCTTGAATTACCCTTCTTTGTCTGCTTGTGTGTGCAGACTTGGTAATAGAGTTGAAAACAGTAAAGGATTTGTTTTAATTTAAATTGTTACTTTGAGATAAATATTAGGGCATATTGCTAAATGTATCATTTAAGATAATCCTTGAATGTGGGTTGGAGGGAGGGAAGGGTTAAAAATATCTTTTGGTTTAAATTATTTTAAAAACATGAGTATGAGGTAATTTTCTAAATTTCTCATTATTCTATATTTTGTTAGAGTCATTATTCATAACCCATTAGTGAGCTATTTGGAAGTAAGTTAGGGATTTGGGAGGAAAGTTTTAAAAATTGGCAAAGTTTTAAATATCGGATTGCTCCAAACTTTTCTCCTTTATATGCAACTCCTTTAGCGTTGCCACCCCTTCTCACTAGCGCACCAGTGGCTGTAAACATTCTAAAAACAGTTGTGGCTGGGTATAGTGGTTTATGGACATATTAATAAATAATGACATGTTTTACTTTCAAATAGTGAGATCATGTCTATCAATTAAAATTTGTGAATGATTGATTTTAACTCCTTTTCTTTAAATTATAAGCAGGGTTTACTATTTCATATTAATTTGTCAGGTTTTTATTAGACTTGTGATAGCCTCAAGTTTATGTCATAAAGCCAGGGAAGACTCAATAAAGGAATTGCTGGTGCACACTTAAAAAATCAACAACAGCCCCTGCCCCCGAGTCCCAGCTCTGCTTTAGTTTGTTCTGGGCGATTCTTCTGATATCAGCTCCTGCTTCATTTATGATGTCTATCACCAGGAGTTCACGAAGTTCAGAAAATAAAAATATACTTTAAGGAGCGCTTTCTAAATGTTCTGATGTCCTGATAATACCTCTGTTTTCCTTTATGACAGAGGGTGGTGAAGGCAGACATTGTAAACTACAACCAGGAGCAGCCCGTGTCAAGGACTGGGAACCCTCCGAGAAGCTCTTTGTGTGCGGTTCAGTGAGCGCGCTGGCTTCGGCCCGCCACCCTCCGCCCTGGGCCCGTGTGGGCCGGAGGAGCCCGGTTATCAGTGAGCATCTCTGGACTTCAGTTAACACTTTCCTCCCAGCTCGCTCCGCCAGCGCGTGGTGCCTCACAGCCGCAGGCAGCTCCTTGGCCGGGAAAGACCTCAGCCTCGGGACCACACACTTTGAATTCAAAGTGGAGAGCCCATTCTCTGGAGTTAGACTGCTTCACTGAAAAAGAATAATGTTGGTTCTCTTTATGTCCTCACTTCTTTTTTCCCAGATGTCCATTTTTTAAAAAATAAATATGAAAACTATCCAAGCCTTGACCATCAGCCAGCGCGCTGCCCGGCCCGGCTCCCTTCTCTTATCGGAACTCACACCTGGCAAAGCCGGCTTCAGGGTGCAAGCGTGTAAAGGAGTCGCACGTTTCCTCTGCAGATACGTAAGGAGGCAATCTGCTGTCTATCCTGAGGGAAAATAGAGAAAGCTGTATTTCACTGAAAATGCTTGAAATAAAGCTGTAATAGAAATACTTTTTCCGTTTTTCAAAAAGGACCTAAATGGTTTGTATGGTAGCTGTAGCTCACAGAGCAGTGAGTATTTGCGCCTGTATTGTTACGACTGCACCACAGCCATTGTGTAAAGGTTAGCTGGCGTTGTGAGTGCGACGAAGGCCGGCTGACGCTCCACGTGGGCTTTCCTGCAAACTGCTCCCGGAACAAGCGGTGACTGTTGTTGGATCATTGTGGGTCAGACTGGACCTGATGTTCAGAGTTTTTCTCCTGCTAATAAATCTATTTAGATTACTGTTTTGGGGGAATTTTCTTCCAGCCACCTTCCTTTTAGTTACAGGAAAACAACATGTCTTTGGCTAGATATCAGTGATCATGTGACCTTTAAAAAGCATTCAGTTATTGGGTTGTCGGAAAAGTCATGACGTATTTTTTCTACGTTTTTCGTTGCAAAAAATGCTTCAGGACTTTTCCAACAACCTGATATTTTGTGGGACTGATGACAGTGCAGACTCCGTGGCCCAGCCTTTCAGGGGCTCCGTGTGGGCCGCGTCCTCCGCCCCTCCCGCCCTTCTCCTGTCACTGGGCGCTGCCGAGTCTGCGCAGAGCCCTGGGCTCACTCCTGCCTGTCTGTGCTGCCTGGAATCCCTGCTCGCTCTCCACATGTCTGCCTGCTGCCTGCGCCTTCAGGCATCATGAGGGCAGGGCCCTGTCTTGGTCACAGCTGTGTTGTGTTTTTGTGCTCACGCCCAGCGCCTGGCATGGTGGCTGCTTCGTATCTGCCACATCGAAGCAGGAATGAATGCCGCCCCTCCACAACGTCAGTCCTCATTGCCACAGCTGCAAGTTCCGCTTGAGTACCTCCTGGGTGGCCATTACCCCCCTGCCATGACTCACAGTTACTCCTGTCCTTGTGGTTATTGTTTAATAGGCCGTGAGGTGATCGAAGGGCACTCCTGGCCTGTGCCAGCACAGGGTGCCAACCAGGGAGACTCTCTCTTCTGGGAGACTTGCCCCAAGTGTGTGCAGAAGTTTTGGACACCTAATTTTACAGGTGTAACGGATTTTAGAAAACCGTTTTTTTCACATCCTGTGTGGTTAAGGAAACTGAAGTTTGGAGAGAAAAAAGAACTTGCCACAGGTCATGGGATCACGGAGCCAGAGCGCATAGGAAACGTGCTGTCTCTAGGCCAGGGTGACACTTGTCAAGAGTGACTTGAAATTTAAGAAAATTTAAAAATTGTGACTGCTATACTCCTTGGGCAGCAAATCCAATCATTGCCTACTTTGGTTTTTATATTTCTTTGTTTTGTTGCAATTAAGCATCCTTTTAATAAGCCTTCCCAAGGTGACAAGCCCTTCAACGTAGTTTATCCTTCTTTTTAACATCTTCCTAACATATGCTGGTCGGTCTGCTAGGGAGTCCACAGTTTCTCTGTATTCTTCAGGAGAATATAAAGTTGAATAAAAGGGATCTCAACCCTCAAGGTTACCTTACAGCAGCGGTTCTCAACCTTTCACAGGGGTCGCCTAAGACCGTCAGAAAACACATATTTTCGATAGTCTTAGGAACTGAGACACCGCTCCTCTATCCGTCTCCAGGCCCACATGCAGATACGCCCACATACAAGTACCCGGAGATCCCTGTGAAAGGGTTGTTTGACCCCCAAAGGGGTCGTGACCCACAGGTTGAGAACCACTGCCTTACAGCCCAGTAGGAGAGATGTTTGTTGTTGGTGCTGCTATTTTAAAAGCTGTGATTAGTTGAAGTCTACTATTAAACTAAACTTGCCCAGGGTTTTACCTTCAGTAAGAGGTGAGGCTATGCTCTTTTGGTCATTTTGAGTTGTTTTTACATGTACGTGAAAATTTGAGGATTTGCATTTTTCTCAGTCCAGTTATTGCAGTATCTCAAAGGTACGACAACACGCATAGATGATTGTGCAAGCTAAGTACTACAGGCATTCTGGAGGGGGCAGAGAGAGCTTACAAAAGGTCTCTGATCTGACCCAGGGGCTTTAGTTGTGTGTTTATAAAGTTAGAGCACCGAATAGGACTGAACAGGAGGGAGAGAATGGCCTTCGTAGGATTGCTCTGTTCAGGTCATTTCCAGGCACTTGTCACATGAGCTATTTTTTTTCCCCATACCAGTCTGTGGCGGGGTATCATCGTCCTTGCTGTACACATGAGGACACTGCGTCCCTCCTGAAGTCAGCGGGAAGGCCAGGACCCACACAAACCATTGCTGAGATAGGATGGGTGAGGCTGGGCACCCATCAAGGCTGCCTTCCGTTTGTGAAGATCACACAGTTGAGCTCCAGCCTGGGAGCTGACCAGGCCTGGGTGTTCAGTTGTTCTTTTGAGCAGTGGTGATGGCTAGTCCCACTGACCTAGACCAGCGTGGGTGTCTAAAGAGGCTGCTGGTGGTGGTAAGTTTGCCCTCTGATCGCCGAGGTGAGGACGGAAAATTGCCCCCCGCCCCCGCCTTTGGCCTCATTGGTTTTCCGTCTCTCCCAGCTAAACTCGACTGGTCATTGAGAGCCGTTTGGCCCAAGGACAGCAGGCACAGTGAACATGCAATATAGTGTATGGCCAGAGCAGATTTCTGAATTCCATATTACAATTTCCCCATACCTCGGGTTTTATTTTTGAAACAAAAACGTAGGATTCATGCTTATTTTACTTTGTTACCTCTCATGTCTACAGTTTTTAATTTAAAAAATTACAAGTCATTCCATCTAGTTTTAGGCACTTTGTCTCCTGAAGACGCATGCTATAAAGTTTCAAACTCATTGTGGTCACTTCTGCTGCTTATTGAACTTTTGAAAAACACAAAAGCTTTCAGCCAGAACTGGTCGTTGGATGCTGCCTTTCCAGTGCACCCTCTATTATGTGTGGCGAACCGCTGTGGAGTGGTTTTTGGAGTGGCCCGAAGAACTCCTATGACTGCTTTATTATTCCAGGAGGAGGTAAGCCAGGGCCTTTTAAAGTCGATCACTGAAACAGTGTGATGGAGCATAATAATTTGTGTGTCATTTAAAAATAGAAAAGCTTTCTGGCCATAACCCGTGCTAGTGATTGCTGTAATGCTGGACATCCTGAAAAACAGATGCAAGATTCAAAGGAAATGGAAATACAGGCCATTGAGCACTGTGGGAGGCATGTGCCCGCTGCCTCCCCAGCACTCACCGCTTCTAACAACAGTTCCCTGACTTCCCGATGGAGCCCTCCTCCATGCTCAACCACTCACAGCTCTAGGAGTGGATCCTCATTGGTAAACCCATTAGGATATTAACCCCTCCCAGCCTCACTGATTGGCTCAGAAATGAGCGAATAATTACATTAGAGCTAATGAAACTGGAGGGGACGTTGGCTGAGGTTTCTGAAAAAGAAAAGAAAAAAAAAGCTATCCCTTGAAGTTTCCAGACGACTCTTTGCCCACTGGACTTGAACGAGAAAGACGTAGGCCTGAGCACCACTGGCAGCCACGGTGAGGTCACAGAGGGGAGAGTGGGGAGCCTGCCCCAACCCAGAGCCGTGCCGAGGGCGCAGTGTGAGAGGTGGAGACGATCAGTCCCTGACTGAGCCCCAGACCAAGCCATGCCCCGAATTGTTGAACGGCACGACTCAATTACTCTATCGTTTTGGCTCGTGCTCTGTTACTGTGCTGTTGCTTCGTACGTGAGACTTTTACGTACCAGGGCTTTGCTTGGCACGGAGGCAGAGATGAACACGAGCTATACTTTGGCCTCAAGAGGTTAGTCGAGGCGCATGTATAACTCATTAAAATGCAGTCAGACTGTTACATGTTTCAATCAAACAAATATCGGAAGATGTGGCTTAGCAGTGAGTGTGAAAAAACAAGGATTTCAAATGACAGGAATGAGAGTCAACAGGGTAACAGAATCGCCTTCAAAAGCTAATGTAATCGTAGGCTACATGAATGCAGAGAGACTGTTCTCTGAGTCGTCTGTGCATGTCCGTCACCTGCAGCATCTTGATTCGGTTCCAGTGGGGTTTGAGGTTCTGCATTTATAACAAGCTCCCAAGGGACACTGATGCTGCTGGCTCTGGATCGCACTTTGAGTTGCAAGGGATTGGACCAGGCCTGCAGTTTCCCCCTATGGGTGCCCTCTTTAAGGGGCTAATGGCCTCTTCTGATCGTGGGGTCGGGATCCAATGTCACATGACACAGGAGAAGGAAGACCGTGCTTAACATGGGAAAGAAGGCCTCAGAGAGACTCTGAGCGTGGTCTCCAAATATAATAGGCAAAAGGCCACGCTTTAGAGAAAGACTGAACTGCTACCAGAACCTCTAGGACCCCATAAATAGATGGGTAGGTAGAAGCTATAGAAGGACGATTCTGGTCCAGCCCAAGAAAGAACCTTACAAACATCAGCTCCCAAGGAGGGAGAGAGTGCTCTCTGCAGTGTCGTGTCACGTCGCAGGGTTGCGGATTCCTAGGGCATCGGGTGAGGTCGGTGAGTCAAAAGCAGCTCAGAGTAGAAGACAGCACGAGTGGGTGGTGAGCTGGAGAGCACGTGCCCTGTCTGAAGCCATTCCAATCCAGTTTTTAAAGTTATATTGGCCAAATAAAGCCTATGTATGGCTAGGGCCACTGCCAGCCCCTATAGAGCTATTGTGCCAATTAGAAAAATATGTCTTTCTCAAGGCACTTTGCTTCCCTGTTTTAGAAAGCCGTCACACTATTTTGTTAGAACAAGGCACTTCACTCTCCTAGAAAATGGGTGATAAATCCATAATACCTGTGATGTGAATGGCAGCCCTTTTGATGGGCTGAGTTCCACCCTTTGGTGGCCAGATTGAAACCCTTGCGACTGTAAACCTTAGTGTCTGGATGTAAAGTTGATGAAATTAGGAGACAAAATTATTTGTCAAACTTTCTCAGAGAGCAACATCAGAGTGTTCCTCGGCTCTCGGGACACGTGGTGCCTGGGGACACAGTATCTGCCTTCAGGTTGGCAGGGCATAGTGGCATCTTAGGTATCAGGTATTAGGTGCGCGGGCCTCAGAGCAGGTCAGTTCTGCCCAGACGGGGGCTGAGGGAAGGAGTGCTCACAGCAGATTTGCAGGGGCCGAGAGGCTTGGACTGACAGCCCTGAATGAGACAGTCCTCCCGACACCGTTCCCCCTGGGAAGTGGGCCTTCCAGTGGAGCAGGACCTTTGGGCCAAGCTCAGAACCGCCTACCATTCCTTTTGGTCTGGCCCTTTATCACATCAGTTTTCCACACTGGAGAACTGGAAACGATGAAAGGCAGACTATTTGTTTTAAAG